TTTATAAGAAAGATAAAGAAAAATTATGTAGCAAAACATTGCGTGGACCCTCCTGGGAGAAATAAAGCAAGCAAGATACATAGAGGAAAAAAATTCATATATAGGTTCTATAGGTACAGAAGTTTTAGGAAAAAAGCACACTTCATTTTGAATTGATTATATAAAATAAATTATCCAGACTCTGATAGCAATTTGCATTCTTTATTAAATAAAACACATGACTCACTTTTTGTAACAAACAAGGATTCTGTTCATTCCTTTAAAAAAAAAACCCCAAAACTTCCATATATTACTATCTCCAATTTATCATGCCTTGTCTAAAGCTATGCATAATCACATTATGCCTGGTATATAGCAGTTTGGCAAATCTTTCCTTCCAAGTCCTATTAGCAAAGTGAAAAAAATATATAGAGAGATGATATTAATTTATTTAAAATCCACCATAACCCCAAACCATTTCTGTTTTACTCTTAATTTACCCAAACATCTCTCACGTGAAAACACATAACTCATTTCTATACTCCTGGGAAACTGTAAGTGACAGGCGTAGACATAAATACAGATATAGCCATGGTCACAGACATACATAGATATAGACACAGACATAGAGACATAAACACTGGTGTCATGTTTACTGATTATATTCTTCCATGAGGCGCTACTGTCTGCCTCCGGTTTGGGGTTGGGAAGAGGAACATTGTAAATCAGGGAGGAGAATCGAGATGTCTTTCGAGTCCTCCCACAATCACTGCTAACACATTTAAATCACAGAATCATCTGCTGCACAATCCAAATGACTGCACTTAGTCGTGCAATGGGTTTTTGTACTGACAGTTTTTTTCATAGGGCTGATTCATTGTGTGCTTGCTCTTTCAGCGAGATGCTTTGCTGATAAGCAAAACCATAGTCCGAGTTTGATAACAAACAGTAGGTTTAAAAGTTACTTATGAAAATGAAAGCATTTATTTGAACAATGCCCATGACAGAGGACACGTGCCTTATCTGGATTTGAATATACAAATGAATAAAGAATGAGTGAACAGAAACACAGATAAAGAGAGATGTGAGAGAATCACACATAAAATTAACCCTCAAATGTGTTTTTAAGTATTCCCAGAAGATAAATGTGTTGAAATGTCGGCATCATTTAATATTTCCCCTTAAAACAGTTGGGATGCAAGTCTTCTATGTATTTTTAGAAATATGTGATTTATAAATGCTTAAATATGTATAAGGTAGTGTTCTTTCTTATGGGACCTACAGGGCTTTTGATGTGGTTGATAATCTTTTCTTAAAAAACTGGTAAAAAGGGCTTTCACAGACCACCTTTGTTACCATACTGAGATTATGACAATTGCTAAAAAATAGAAAATAACACAAACATGAAGAATATGTTTGAAAAATGATACCAAAGTGTAGACTGAGTGGCCTGTCTTTCTCACAGGTCTGAGACGCTGTTTTGAGGTTGAAAAAGCTGAAGATTTTATATATTGCCATTAAGAAATCTTTATCCGTAATGTTACATTCTGCAATTCTTTTATATGTGTCAAAACACCCCCTGTGGCTTTTAAGGTTTCTGAAGCCTGGGACTCTGTCCATCTCCTTTCTGCCTCCCTTCCTGTTCTGTCACTGGATGAAGGAATCTTCACCCTATGCCTGATTCTGTGTTGTTGATATTTATCGAAATGCTCCCTGCAGATTTTTAACTTCTCTGAAGGCTCGAGCCTCGTCTGTCTGTCTGCACCACTCCAGCTCCGTGGCCTGCGGGAGCAGACATTCCGTGCGTCCTCGTCCTCGTGGGCCGAGCCGGGGCTGCCCCCCTCCGCCGCCATGCAGCCCTGCCCTGGCCGCGCTCGGATGAGGCAGGCAGCGCGGCGAGCCAGGAAGAGCTGTCAACGGGTGGGATGTTAGGAAGGGGACGGGCGGTCAGCGCACGCGTGGTTGAGGGAGGGACGGTGAGCAGAGGCTGGAGGCTATGAGCTGTCCGGCTGCAGGGCCAGCCCCAGGGAGCCCTGCAGGGCCCAGGGTGAGCACACGTGCGGGAGGGCATGGGGGAAGGAAAGAAACCGTCTTGGCGAAAAGCCACCGGATCAGCAGCGCTTTAAAATTGTGCCGTCCTTTCACCCCCTTCTCGTGTGCATCTCTGGCTAACTTCCGTTGAGAAGGAATTGCAACTTTAATTAAAAATATGCCTATTTCTATATTTCAACCTCATATATTTTTAGGTTGCCATATTTTCCGATACACAAGCAGATCTTTAGAAAGGATGGAAGCTACATTTTTTTCTTTTTACAGCAAGAGGTCCATGGCAGGGAGAAAACTGTTCATTTGACAACTATGATTGTTGAGACGAACACTGACAAAGACTTTCTCTTGAAATAACTACAAAGGGCCATTTGTACATCCGTAATGAAAGCCCGTTTGTGTAGTGTGGTCCCTATAATGTGACTCATCACACACAAATCACGCAACCATGACCCTCCACCCCTGGTGGATTGCCATCATCTCCTGCCCTGACTTCAAAAACGTCAGGACTGAGTAAACCTGTCAGAAAGGTGAGGGGAACCACCAGGTCTTAAAGACGGCTCTGTAGTTCTTTCATTCTCTAATTGTTAGACCATGTTCACTTATAAATAGAGCCACAAGAGAGAGAGAAAAAAATAGAAATAAAACTGCCATCAGGTGCCGGGTTTAATATGCAATGTTTATACTGGTTTGCAATAGCTATCAACCCTACACCTGTTTCAAATCAGATTGCTAAAATAATGCATTCATACAAACACTGCCGTTTGAAATAGTTTTTTAAAAATAAATTATAATAGCTGTATCACTAATTTTAGTAAGAATTTCAAATATAAAAATTAATGTGTTTCTTATTAGCACTGCTTGGAAAAGCACCTGTTTAGAGCCTGATCGAATTGTGCACATTGAATGGGGGCTTAGGAGGAGGCCTGCCTTCCTCTGGTACCACTTACTCTTTTCTTTCAGGCTTAACAAATAAGCATTTTATATCTTTTCTATAGGATTTCAGACTTTCAGCTCCATTCTGAAACAGGTCCCATTAAAATGTACTTCCCATATTATGGTTAGTGTTTTTCCTGCTCCATCTCCCTCCTTCTTCCCATCCTCCTCCCTGTCGGACTCTCTCAATCTCTCTGTCTGCCCCCGCCATATAGCTGTCCATGTGTGTATGTATGGTTGATCATTTATCCATCCATCCATCCCGTCTGTCAGCTATCTGTCTGTCTCTCTCATTTCCCTTTCATCTATCCAATCTTTCATGTCAACTGTCTACCATCTATCACCTGTTTACCTATCATCCACCTACCTAATCGATCATCTATTTATCTAATCTATCATCTATATCTCATCTATTAATCTGTCATCTATCATCTACCTGTGATCTACATATCTAATCTATCATCTATCAATCATCTATTTATCTGTCTAATCTACCGTCTATCTCATCTGTCTGTGTATCTGTCTATCTAATCTATGATCTGCCTCTCATTTATCTCTCTTCTGTTGATCTACCTATCTACCAACCTACCTATCTGCCTATCTGTCTACCTGTCTACCCATCTATCTACCTACTTACCTATCTATCTACCTGTCTACCTATCTACTTATTTATCTACCTATCTGTCTACCTATCTACTTATCTATCTATATGTCTAACTATCTACTATCTACCTATCTATCTACCTATCTACTTATCTATCTACCTATCTACCTATGTGTCTACCTATTTACCTATCCCTCTACCTATCTACCTATCTGTCTACCTATTTACTTATCCTACCTACCTATCTACCTATCTGTCATCTTTCTGTATATCCCTTCCCTTGTTGCTCTGGTCCCCCAGGGTTCTAGCCTAACTTTAAGATATCTTCATCTCCCTTTTCTCCTTGATCCTAATTTTGGTCACCAAGGGAAGTGTGTTTTCTTTCAGGAGAAAAAGATCCTACACACTACAGAAAAAAGTTCATAGGTCATAACATGCTGAAGCATCGGACATAAGCCAGTTCTGTTCAGAAGTCATGGTCATCATGACGATGTTTCTTTATTAAGCAAAAATACTACAAGGTTTTGGAAAGCTAAGTACAGAGGACCACATTCTAGCCTCAGAAAGTCTTTTTTCATGCGTTAATATGGATAATTACATGAACTCTGCATAACAAATGTAAAAATATTCATTGCAGGATATTCTGAGTGCCCTCAAAATATATCTCTTTAACTGTAATCAACATTTGTTTTGCTTATATTGACTCATCTTTTGGTTAATTCAAACATTCTAAATGTTAAATATTTTATAGGTATTTGACTTAACGTGTAGAAGTGATTGCATTTCATTTTTAGCACTGAAAATACCTATGTCGGTAATAGCAGTTTGAATTTCATAAAATTCTATAATTCAAGACTCTCGGATGCATACAATTTTCCATGTAACTAAAGCAGCTTGGCGATCCTGGGGCATATACATTGGCCTTAAAGAGCAAAATTTAACACGACAACTGGATATTTGTAATGTTTTTTGTTTGTTTGTTTTTTCTAAAGCCCGAACCTTTATTGAAATGCTAGGACTTAGAATTAACCAGACCAATTAAACCATGAAAAATACAATGGTTGTACAAATTTCTGACATATTATATTTTTATCTTTCAACACACCACTTTTCATCAAAGTTGCACATTAAGTGAGCAGTCCAAACATTCATTATCTAAATCACTGAGAACCTGTTATAAAGACGTATTTAAAAGTATTCCCCTAAAAAGGAGTCCTGCAGCATTAGCAAGTTGAAAAACAGTGCCAAGGTGCTTTCATTATATTTGCTGGAATGAAGATGTGATTTTGTTGGTAAACTCAGCACATAGGCTTATAGAGTAAGAGATAGGAGTTATAATTCAAGAAAAAACATTAGTAAAGTGGGTGTTTGTAATGTCAAAGGTCATGGGAAGTCCCTGTTATGCTAAGTTGCTGTCTTTTTGCCTTGGATCTAGGTCATCAAGCTCGCCTTTGAAGAGTTCGAGCTGGAAAGAGGTTACGACACCCTGACAGTTGGCGACGCTGGGAAAGTCGGAGACGCCAGATCGGTCTTGTACGTGTGAGTATCCCTTGAGCTTCTACTCCGACACGTGCGTGCTGAGGCTCAAGATCCTGCCTTGGATGCTCATTTCCTGCCGTGTGTGACTCATCTCGTGGCTTCCACTCTGACGTTGAATGAGAACTAATTTAGGATTATGTTTTAGCTGTATCAATTATTTTTTTCCAAATCATTTAAAAATATGTTTATGGCAATTTTTTTTTTCTTGAGACAGAGTCTTGCTTTGATGCCCAGGCTAGAGTGAGTGCCGTGGCGTCAGCCTAGCTCACAGCAACCTCAAACTCCTGGACTCAAGCGATCCTCCTGCCTCAGCCTCAGCCCCGCTACTTGGGACTACAGGCATGCGCCACCATGTCCGGCTCATTTTTCTATATATTTTTAGTTGTCTGACTAATTTCTTTCTGTCTATTTTTAGTAGAGATGGGGTCTCGCTCTTGCTCAGGCTGATTTTGAACTCCTGACCTTGAGTGATCCATCTGCCTCAGCCTCTCAGAGTGCTAGGATTACAGGTGTGAGCCACCACGCCTGGCCAAAAAAAATTTTTAGAACACTCAGAAGGTAGAAAGTGGACGTGATAAACTTCTCAATTCAACCCTTTTTGGGCTCTCTCTTTCTGCTTCCTTGTGATATTCTATTAGTGGGTCGTTTGGAAGTACAGGTGCTTTCTGGTTTGGCAAGTACAGGTGTTTTCTGTAATAATGCCATGTGTCTTCCTTTGCATTGTATAAAACTGCACAGTGAAAATGACAGAGATCACAGGGAAAATATTGCTGGGGGTGACCCCCTGTCTGTCTGTAGAAGTCTGTGTACAGAGTCCTCGTGAAATCATTACCAGCCCTGATATAAATACTTACAGACTGGTTGCTCTGCTCAGTTTGCAAGTAGGATCACAGTCTGTTCTGTGGCTCTGTGTCCCAGATACCTACACCAGCTACTCTCAGATGCACAGCCTCCAAGACAGATTTTCTGAGCGTCTATCAGACCTGGTGTATCAAAATTAGAAATGTGATTTGGGAGTGTCAATCAATGTGTTTCTCAGAAAGGAAATGTGTTCTCATATGCTTTGTCTGCCTTCGCACTTTCTACAGGTGGCTTCACACAGTAATTCTTAAAACCACTCAACCAGAAACTTCTTGCATGAATGGAAGGTGTTCGTCAGGGTGTGCACCCTATTTGCTAAGTCTATGAACACACTGTTGAGGATTCTCTATTATTGAGAAAGTTTGCCCTGATACCATCAACATATCACTGTGATAGGAAAAGGGATAGTGTCCGTTATACTCACATCATCCCCTTACTTTCTGATTACTTAAGATAAAATTCACATTTTGGAACAGTGCTATACCTGACTATGCTGTATATGCATTTAAAAATAATTTGTCCTATGCTAGGACTACACTGGGAACATGTGTCTTTCATTCATTGTGTCTTGAACATTTTTGCATGTGAGCACCTGTCTCTCTTATCTTTCTGCTGGCCCATTCTAACTACTACTAATGATAATCAAAACCTTATTGCTGGCTCATGATTTATGATAATAATGACAGAAATAGCACTAGTAATACTATAGCTAACTTTAATTGGGTATCTCCTATATGCCATGCATTGTGCTAAATACCTAATACATATGATCTATATGTGGTCTTCACCATAATCCTGTATGCTTCAGCTAATAATATCCTTATCTTATCAATGATGACACTTAGTCTTTGATAGATTAAAGGATTTACCCCAATTCACACACCCAGCATATGTTGGAGCAGGTACCCCCACTTGGTGACAGTGTACTCTCCTTCATTCCCAGGGGAGCTGCTATGCTTTTTATTTATATTTTTTCTATTTTAATTTGATTTAAGTTTTTATTTTTTCTTTTTTTAATTGCAGCATATTATGGGGGTACAAGTGTTTAGGTTACATATGTTGCCTTTGCCCCCACCCAAGTCAGAGCTTCAAATGTCCCCAACCCCCAGATGGTGTGCACCACACCCATTAGGTATGAATTTACTCGTCCCCTCCTCCCCCTCCCACCTGTGTGACACCCGATGAATGTTACTACTATATGTGCACTTAGGTATTGATCAGTTAATACCAATTTGATGGTGAGTACATGTGGTACTGGTTTTTTCATTCTTGGGATACTTCACTTACTAGAATGGGTTCCAGCTCTAACCAGGATAATACAAGAGGTGCTAGATCACCATATCACTGTTGCTTTTTTGTGGGTGAGTAGAACTCCACAGTATACATATACCACCTTTTATTAATCCACTCATGTATTGATGGGCACTTGGGTTGTTTCCGCATCTTTGCAATTGTGAATTGTGCTGCTATAAACATTCTGCTGCAGGTGTCCTTTTTATAGAATGTCTTTTTTTCCTTTTGGGTAGATGCCCAGTAATGGGATTGCTGGATCGAATGGTAGTTCTATTTTTAGCTCTTTAAGGTCTCTCCATATTGCTTTCCACAGAGGTTGCACTAGTTTGCAGTCCCACCAGCAGTGTAGGAGTGTTCCTCTCTCTCTGTATTCACATGTGCTTTTAAATGATTCTCGTCGAGAGCCCTTTGCTTCCCCCACCCTATTCTTTGGCTTTCACATGTGGCTGTGCGGTGGATAACTGTGTACCTGTGCATCAGTGCACTTGTTTCAAACGCCTTCAGGGAATTTCCCAGCAGAGAAATTTTGGGGTAAATAGGCACCTTCGTTTACCTTGTTATGCTTTTCCCATTAACCTCCCAAAAGTTAATGTAAACCACAGTGGGACATGGAGGTCCCTATTTTCCCACACCCTCACCAACTTTTTATTACATTTTTATAAATCAATTTCTTTATTATTAAAAATGCATAGTGGTATGGGGTGGGGCCCAGAGATCTGCATTGCTGGCAAGCTTCCTAGGTGCCGGTCACACGTGCTGCCTGGCTCTGGCCTGGCTGGGACAGTGCTTGTGAGCAGTGACACAAGGACCAGTTCACAGAAATGGGCCTGGAAGTCAAAGACAGAGTTTCTGGCTCCAGCTCTGCAATTCACTGTTGCTGTGACCCTGAGGGGAGTCATTTCACCTCTCAGTCCCTCTGTTTGCCTGGCTATAAAATATGTATGATAAACCTGCCCTGCCTGTGGTAAAGAGAAAAATGAAATAATGCACGCAAAAGCTCCGGAGAGCTAACGAATGTAACCCACACATATTGTCATCACCATAACGTCTAATTTAAGAGAAGATGTCACTAAAATAAATGAGTGAAATTCTTAAATAAATGCAAAATTTAAAATATAAATGTAGCAAAGCAATCCTTTATAAAAATCCCTCAGGTTACTATTAAAGATCTAAAATCACACACTCACTTTTTTTAAGCGCCATTTGCTGTTAAGGAAGCAACAGCACACTGTGCATCACGTTGGCATAAGTGTTATTAGAACCTCCTCTCGATAGCTCAAAACTATAAATGAGAAGCTAAATAGCCAACTGAATCAAACTGAGATGCCCTTTGGGAAATATAATGTAACAAAGATCAGTTGGGCATTTAATCAGCTGCAGTGGAGGAAAAAGGAAAGCCACTGATATATTTTCTCAGTGAACCAAATTACCAGAAAAGAAAAGAACACATTCCGGGAACCACAGCTGATCTCTTTGAATAGACAGGTAGTTTCAGACAGCACATCAACAAATACCGTCGAGTACTTATGTGCCAGACATTATCAGCATGGAATTTATAATCTAATTGAAGAAATGACAGATATGCTAGGATAGTTTAAATACTAGTTACTATATAGAATCATGGAATCTCATGACACATGTTTCAAATAAAAGAGAAGTTAAAAAAAATCTTTATGGCAGACTGGCGTTAACTGCTTCAGATTTAATATTTCATGGGTTTCTTTCTTGAGCAAATTATGGAATCCTAGTCAGATCATGATCTTTAAGAGAAATTTGGAAAGTGAGGTATCCTAAAAGGGAGAGAGCTCATCCTAAATACGGTTTCAAAAATTCTAATTTCTGTTAATGGCTTTTTATTTTCTTAACTTTTGTGCCATACACACACACACACACACACACACACACACACACACAATAGAATCCCTGAACATTAAGGGGTTCCTTTTATAACCCAGTCTTCCCAAGAGACAGGTGAATGTATGCAGGTCATATTTGCAGTATGTCAGGCTTAAAAGAAAATTAAATAACTTACTTAGCGAATCTCTGCTGAGCTCTTTCCAAGCATGTATATTGGTAATTTTGTTGAATTTAATTTGCAGAAGAACTGCATGGGGAGATTCCACCTAACCTGGCTTCCCCTGGCCTTTGCAGTTATTAGCTGCTGGTGACCAGGAGATGTCATTAATTCAGGGCGGGCTGTGGGCTGCCGGCATAGGTTACGGTTTCTGAATGCGCATCCCTCTGCGGGTGGGCGAGCAATGTCAGGCAAGTGGCTAGCAAGCAGGGTAGCCTCTGCCTGGCTCGGTGTGAGACTAACAGATAAGGACACTAGCTCGTTCTTACACTGGCTCGATCCATTTTTGTTGAAACTGCTTCTTGCTCCTAGATGCCATCCCAACCCTGGTGTGGCCACAACTCCGTTTCCCCCTGCCGTTATCCACTGGTCCCAAGCCAAATGGCATCATTCTCTTCTTATCAAAAGACTGCTGAACAGCCATCAAAAAGCAGACACTGAACACAGATGTGTGTGTGTGAGTGTGTGAGTGTTTATAGATCTTTGATGTGATCACTGACTCAATTGCTAAATGTTTAGTGCTTTGGAGAAAGGGAAGCTTGAGCAATTCATGTTAGGCATGAAAACATGAAGATATCAACTTAAATGCTCTCTAGATAGAAAAAAATGCATACTTTTTTATCATTAGAAATTAGAAATCAAACCAAACAGGAATTGGGTTCTTAAGCTCTAAAATCACATGATCCCAACGATTTTCCTTCGCATTGGGGCTCTCACGAGGGCACAGCCTGAGCACCCGCAGACCACGGACGACACAGGTCAGACTCAGATT